AAATTAAATTAAAAAAAAAAAAAAACAGAAACAAACTCATAGGTACAGAGTACATTTTGATGGTTGCCAGATGGAAGGGAAGTCGGGGGGATGGGTGAAAAAATGAAAGGAATTAAGACTTACAAATTGCCAGTTATTAAATCCCTAGTTATAGGGAAGTAAAGTACAGCATAAGTCAATAATATTGTAGGAAATACGTATGGTGTCAAATGGGTACTAGACTTATTTGGTTGATCACTTTATGAGTAATATAAATGTCTAATCACTACATTGTACACCTGAAACTAATATAATATTGTATGGCAACTGTAATAAAATTGTTTTATGTTATTTTTTTTAAAAAAAGAGCATAGCATTCCTTCTGTCCATGGAGAGATGGGGGAAGGACATACACTCCAAAGAAAATATTGGGCCCTGAAAAACCTGCTCTGTCTAACCCCATTCATTCTATCTGGTGGGGGATTTTCAGTGCTGAATCAAGATAACAGAGATATTCCTGTTACTCCCCCATAAAACTCAGCATCCGTGCCTTCCCGTTTAAGAACCAAACCAAGGAAATTCAACAATCAAACCCAAGAACATCTACCTTGTACACCTTATACTGCACTTTTATTTAAAATATATAACGTTTAAAAATGTAAAACCAGGTGGCGCTCCATTCTGCCAACAACACACAATATGATCAGTGCAACACACTGTCATTTTATTGGGGAAGGGGCAGTGAGAGCCACTAGGAATCCGCTTGTACTAAGAGAAGCAGTTATTGGGACATTCAAGCAAGTGAGGTTGGCACATTCTGTTGGCAGGAGGATTCACCATGAGCAAGAAAAGGCCAGAAGGAGACTCACCATAAGTAAGGGGCAGTGAGAGCCACTAGGAACCCACTTGTACTAAGAGAAGCAGTTATTGGGACAGTCAAGCAAGTGAGGTTGGCACATTCTGTGGACAGGAGGATTCACCATGAGCAAGAAAAGGCCAGAGGGAGACTCACCATAAGGAAGGAAGGCCCAGAAATCCTCGGGGGGAACTAAGGGAGCCAGGAGGCAGCTGTGGGGTCAGCTGGTGGCTACATTGATCACGTGGTTCCTTCTGGTGTGTTTGCAGATCAACAAGGAATAGCGAAAAGAGGGTCATGTCATCCTCTCAGTGAAACATGAGGTAGAGGTGAGCTTCTCAGTGCCAGAAGCAGCCTGAGCCTTCAGAAAACAAAGGAGCCTGTGTAAGGGTTTGGGAATGTCAGAGCCATATATAATCAGAGTAACACCCCCCAGTCTCCCCAGGTCTTAACTCTCAGTCCTTCACAGGCCCAATGTCTCCCCATTACCATCCCTGTCACTTCACTGACCCCTAAAGTACTTCCTATATCTAAGGACTGAGGTTCCCATGGAGATAGGTGGGTTAAAAGCTAGTAACAGCACTCACCAGGCTGATACCCAACACAACCCATCACCCTAGGGCAGATGGTCTCAGGGACACTAGGCTCTACAGACTTTCACCACCTGGTCCCATGTAAAAGATGTCCTTGCCACCCACCTTACCCAACAATACCTATAGCTGCTTGGCTAATTCTTAGAAAGTTTGCCTGGGGGAACACTTGGCCATATGACCTCTGTCCAGGAAGCCCCCCATCTTTCCAACTACTGCCTGTCAGGCCAGCAGTATACCCGTGAAGGTACTGTTCTGCATGGCTATCTGTCTATCAGGCCCACCCATCTAGGTCCCCCGATGCCAGGACCATACAAATGCTAAAGAAGTGCGCACATGCCTCAGGGACAGACACCCCCAACCCATCTGCATGAAGGGGGACCAGAAATAACCAACATTTATGGGATTCTTTGACCCTAAAGAATGGGCTGACCTAAGAGTAACGTAATGATTCAGATTGACCAGGGTCTATGCAAGGTCCGCAGCCCCAGATGCCTCACTTCCAATTCACATGGAGCCTCCCACACATATGCCCACTGATGCCTGAATAGTCCTGCTTCACACACACATGCATGCAGACACACACACACACATAAGTGGGGGCTAGTGAATGCTGATCACTCTCAGGGGGATTCAGGAAAGACTTCATTTGTGTTGAGCACCTGTTATAAATATTCCCAGCATGACTAATTTCAAACTACCCACCTGATGTCACTGAACACAGATCCCAGAAGAGACATGCACCATTGGCCACCCAAAGCTAATATGAGCCAGTTCCAGTGCACCTCATCCCCTTTCAAACAATGATGTGCACACAAGCCACTTACACCCTGCTTACGACCCTCTACTCCCACTCCAGATACATAAACACAAATTAACTTACATAGATGAACACACACGTACATTTCTACCTTCACTGAATATACAGAAATACCTCCTCTTACTACCTAAATTGTTAGACAAAACTCTAATCATCCTGAATATTCACATTCTATTCCTACAACTATGTTCGCACACACAACATGGATCTGAATACAAACATATGCAACCAACATACCACCCAGATGTAGACACTGAATACCTGTGTGGAAGACCACCTATTGTCTTCACTAGCTGATAAGCGTAGACAGAGAACCCCCCGAAGGCTGGGTACCTTTGAAGCCCTAGCAAAGGTTGGAGCTGGGCGCCACCTCTGTTTGTCCAGACAGTGGTAGCTGAAGCAACTTCCCCATTTATTATTATGTAAATCCTTGCTGATGGGCTAGTCGCGCTGCCTAAGGGCTATGCTATGGGTGTATCCCAGATCAATAAAAGCTTGGTGAGGCCTGAGCACCAGTGGAAGTCCTTCTCCTTGAGTTGGTCCCCCAATATTTCCAAATTATATCTTGTCTCTTCTCTTTCATTTGTGTGTGGCTCCTCTTCCAGGTCCTGAACCCTGATCCACGTGGGACGTGGAGGGAAACATTTAGCAACATACCTGCACACACAGGCCCTCTAAAACCACCATGTGCACAACTATCTCATGTGTCACCCAAATAAAGATCCATTTGCAATCCCACAAGGAATAGCAAAAAAGAGGGTCCAAAAATACACATACTCCACCAATCTTGAACACATTACACACAACCTACACAGACTCTTCGTTTCCAAACACACAAGTGTACTCTCACATTCCTTAGAATACACACACCATCATAAGCTTCAGGAACTCAAATATATATGCAGTCACAAACAACCTATACTTATAAAAAACATGTACAGTAAGTTCACCTCACATACACTGAGAAGACACATACAAACAACATTACAAAATTCTGCAAGTATTACATTCTGGGAAAGTCACAAAGAGGACTCTAAGCCTTCTGATACACTCACAAATCCCAAGTACATATACCCACAAACTACTCATGAATTTTCACCCCACATGCTCAGACAGATACACACAAAACACAAAAACACTGACAATCCCTTCACTCTAATTTGCATGCACAATTTTCACACACCTAAGGAAACACACACACATGCAAATATTCCTAACTCCTGAATATATAGACCCCTCAAACATTATAGATCATGCCCCCTCCCAGAATACAACCTCTTTACCTCTGCTCTTAAATATGTAATAAAAGCACTCTATAACAGCTGTACCAGTTAATAATGGGGATATTTTTCAATAGATGGAGTTACACATATGTTGATATATATGCGATTTGATATGTATGCTATTTTGTTGTACTGACAGCAAGCTTCAAAACTTCATATGTCAAATTTGCTGAGGGTGTTAACTTCATAGATATTTTTACGCTTAAAAATGTCGAATTTTGTGCCCAAAAAAGAGCATTGGAGGGAAGTTTTAATTCATTACTTTATTTTGAAGAAAAGTGCTGCTGAAAGTTACCGTATACTTTGGGAAGCTTATGGTGAACATGCTCCATCTCAACACTTTAAACTTGTGAACGCTGGTTTCAACACTTTAAAAGTGATGATTTCTATGTGAAAGACAAAGAACATCCAGGTCAACCAAAAAAGTTGGAAGACCAACAATTATAAGCATTATTGGATGAAGATGCGTGTCAAACTCAAAAGCAACTTACAGAAAGATTAAACGTTGCTCAGCAAACAATTTCTGATTATTTACAAGCAATGGGAAAGATTTTAAAGGAAGGAAAATGGGTGCCACATCATCGGAACGAAAGACAAATGGAAAACCGAAAAGTCATCAGTAAAATGTTGCTTCAACGGCATGAAAGAAAGTCTTTTTTGCATCGAATTGTGACTGGCGATGAAAAGTGGATTTATTTTGAGAATCCCAAACGCACAAAATCATGGGTTGATCCAGGTCAACCATCAACATTGACTGCAAGGCCAAATCGCTTCGGAAAGAAGATAATGCTCTGCGTTTGGTGGGATCAGGAAGGTGTGGTGTATTATGAGCTTCTAAAACAGTGGTTCTCAACCTTGGCTGCACATTAGAATCACCTTCAGGATTTTAAAAAGATTCCCAGGTGATTCTAATGTGCAGCCAAGGCTGAGAACCACTGTTCTAAAACCAGGTGAAACCATTAATACTGATCGCTACAGAGGACATATAATCAATTTGAACCACGCTTTGATCGTTAAATGACCAGAATGGGCCAGAAGACATGGCAAAGTAATTTTGCTTTATGCTAACGCACCATCACACATTTTAAAACCAGTTAAAGACACGTTAAAAGATCTTGCCTGGGAAGTATTAACCCACCGGCCGTATTCACCAGATCTTGCTCCTTCAGATTCCCACTTGTTCCAATCGATGACACATGCACTTTCTGAGCAGCACTTCAAAACGTACAAATAGAAAATTGGGTCTCGGAATGGTTTGCCTCAAAACAAGAAAAGTTGTATTAGGACAGATCCACAAATTACCTAAAAGATGGAGGAAATGTGTAGCTAGCGATGGACATTACTTTGTATAAAGCACTTTTGATGTTGCTCTTAAAATTATTGTGTTTTCTTTGATTACAAACTCCGCATTATTAACCGGTACACCTAGTACACATTTCTTCTCTACCCTCACCCTGAATATACAGACATACCACTTTTTACTCCCTACTTACCAAACACAGGTAGAAACACTCTAGTATTCTCCAAAGAAATACGCTTTACGCCTTTACAACCCCATATACCCTATGAACAAACTATTATTTCATGCTCCTGGTGACAGTTATAAACACAGACCAGGATACATGTCCAAGACACACAGAAATATCTCCAGCAAACCATATAAGAAACAACTTCCAAATACCAAACTAGCCCTAGCTAATGAGTCAGCTCTCACACCCACAAATACTAACAAATAACCTTATAACACCTCTGAAACATAGATACCATCCTCCCATCCCCTGTATAGACACAGAAACCCATTTCTCCCTCAAATACTCACATACTCGCAACCCAAAATGTGTAAGCCTTAGGGCCCCGACTGAAAAATACAAAACGGAGCTCCAGCAAATATGCCTCCCAATGGCCATGGCCCTGGAATACCCACGCAAGCTCAATAAACACACACAACTCTCCACAAGCCCCAAACAGACCTACAATTACCCAGTGCCCTGCAAACAGGCAACCATATGCCCGTATACCCTATGTCCCTAGTAAGCATGCAATGCCACACTTCCTGCATATACATAACCCCACACTCCCAAGTTCTCTCACAGCATTAACTCTTCCATCTTACACACACCCCACACCAAATTGCACAAACACTACTGGGCACCAGCATATACAACACCCACCAGTCCTGAAAACAGTCACAGACTGCCCTCTGCACACTGACGGAGGCGTAGACAGCCGCTGAAGATGACAAAAAGGAATGCACGTAACCACACAACATGCCCCGAACACACAATGATCCGTCCACTCTCCCCAAGTACAAAACACAGAGCACACACCCAAGCCAACGAAACCCGCACTTGTCCTAACACTGCCCTGTGCATCTGCAGATAATCCCTCCAAATCGGCCATTAGGGAAAAAACCCTGATTCACAGGAGGAAAAACACACACAAAACCACCGGTAAACATTTTCCCCATCAGCGTATTACAAACACCTACCCAGCAACTCCCTGAGGATACACGCACTACACCTCCACACCCTCCAAAATCAGCGCTCCGCCTGCACGTTCACAGACACGGGCATGGCCGCCCCGTGGCCACAGCCGCCCGCAGACACCGCGTGAACCAGAGGCGCTGTCAGAGGCGGAAGAACTGCCGGGAGCTGCGCTGTTCAGAAAGCGGGGGACACAGACCGACGCCCCGAGTTGGACTCACAGGCATCACTAGGCCGTGTAGGCCCCCATCACTGACCCCCAACGGCCAGTGGCTGTCAATTCCCGGTGAAAACACACAGAAATATGTGAGGGTGTGGGTGCTGAGCACAGACCCGGGGCACAGAGCCCACAGGGAGAACCACAGAGAAGAGGGGGCGCCTGAGGGGAGAAGAGGCCGCGCGCCCCTTACCTCCCTGTTTGCCTAACGGACTCCGGAGGCCGCCATGCCAGGCCCCGCGTGCAGCCTGGGCGGCCGTTGGGGACCCGCCCTGCAGTTGGCGCATGCGCGCGCTTGTGGGAGCCAACCGCCCCAACGGACGCTGGGAGCAGGTGCAGGACAGAGTCCCGCCCCCAGTGGGCGTGCTCGTGCGTCCTGGCGCGAGGCACCCTGGGAAGGGCCCAGGCTGTCCCTGCAGGAGAGGAAGGAGTGGAGGGAGGGGCCCTGTGAGGCCTCCTGCAGGTCCTCCTCCCAGGAACCTCCCAGCGCGTGTGCAGGGAGCACTTGCGACTTTAAAGTTGCAAACGTGCAGTCCATGCACTTGGCTGCCCCCTCGGGACAGAGTTTGGGAAAGGCCGGCCTGAAGCACTGTCCTCGGAGGGGCCAGTGCCTTCATGCCCTTGGACTGCAGGTCCGTGGTTTCCAGAAAGAGTAGGTCCGTCCTCCCAGAAGTCCGGGCGTTGCATTGCACAATTCCAGCCAAGAACTTTAGACCTGGACACACTCTAAGAGACGCCTGCCCCTGACCCCGTTCCTCCTGTATTAATTCAGTACGTGGAGGTTTTCAATAAATGTTGCGCACAATTCCGGCCAAGAACTTTAGACCTGGACACACTCTAAGAGACGCCTGCCCCTGACCCCGTTCCTCCTGTATTAATTCAGTACGTGGAGGTTTTCAATAAAGGTTACTTCACAGATGTTTCCCTTGCAAGATTGTTGTTCAAACATTCATCAAAATGTGACTGTCTGGGCCAGTTTTCATTGACATAGCAGTTGGCAATAATATTCAGTACGTGGAGGTTTTCAATAAAGGTTGCTTCACAGATGTTTCCCTTGCAAAATTGTTGTTCAAACATTGATCAAAACGTGACTTTCTGGGCCAGTTTTCATTGACATAGCAGTTGGCAATAAAACATATATAGTAGCAGAATCAACTCACTTGAGTTTGTCATATTTTCCAAGGAAACTGAAATCATCTGATTTTCTTTCTGGTCATTTGCAAGAGGGGAAAGAGACAGGAGAAAGACACATCATTGCATTTTCCATTTTGCACAATTTGTGAACTATGCAAAGGCATTACTTCTTTAAAATATTACAAAAGGTAAAAAATGAGACACTGAACAACATAATACTCTGAGAAACAAAAAGTGGTGATTTCTGGTCTTGTCCTGTAGGCTGCAGGGCCTTGCCCCGATGGACTGGAGCAAAGGAGATGGTTTGTAAGGCTGGGCCGGCTGCATCTGCAGGGCTCCCAGCACTGGGCGGCACTTGGGGCCAGAGGACTGCTTCCTAAGGAATGATGTGCACACAGCCA